ACTAAGGATGCCCTGGAACTTCTGACCCTCTTGTCTAGGCCTCTAGTGTGCTGGGATTACAGGCATATACCACATGGCCAGCTTATAGATAGGGTCGTGGGAATGAAACCCAGGGCTTTATAAAGCGCCCTATCAACACTCAGTCCCATAAATGGTTATTAAAATTAAAATCAAAACATAGCAACCTAAAAAGGAGGTAAGTCGTATATACTTCATCAACTGATCACTGTGCTCAGTGGTGAGGGGCTCAAAAGTGTAATTCAATACTTTTTTTTAAAAAAAAGAAAATTACTATTGAAAATTAAATCTCTTAAGTTGTTACAATTCAGACCCACAATATTAAAACATTTCACAAACATACTGAAGATGGCTTTGGGGTGCTTTCTCTTGCCTGAGGGGTACTAACCTAAAGTAGTATGTCAAAGCAATCACTTAGCCACTCAGGGACTTGTTTCTGTCCACACGGCAACTGAATCCCACTTAGAACTGTTTCCCTTCATCAACTGTCATGGCCCAAACACCACATAGTGGGTGCTATTTATGTTTTGATTTGTTGTTGGTTTGCTTGCTTGCTTGCTTGGAGGTAGGGTCTTACTGTACAGCACTGGCTATCTCTGAACTCATTATGTTGTCCAGGCTGGCCTTGAACTCCCACTTGTGATCCTCCTGTCTTACCTCCCAGCGCTGCCATTACAAGCATGCATCATCATCATGTCGAGAACTGCACATCTTGTCCTTTAAAAAAGAGACTTTTCTTGGGCTGGGGATGTAGGCAATGGTAGAATACTTGTTTACCACGCACAAGCCTTAGCACCTCAAAAGCTGTGTGTGAAAATGGCTTCTCTTGATTTTTCTTTATATATGCCCCAATCTAAAAGATCCAAATAAACAGGCACTAGACTCAAGTGAGTCTTATTCTTTTACAACTTAAAAAAAAAACCAAACTCAGTTTATTTACAATATTTTTCACCATATACCAAGAGTTTTCATTTTCAACTACATATTTAATATTTATATCAGATCATTTGATTTAAAATAGAAGCAACTTGGTTGGATTCGATGTAAGGACCTAGAGCCTGACAAGCCAGAGATTCCATATCAGTCGTGAAATATTGCTTGCTTTTTTTATAAAGGGAGGAAAGTGAGAACTAGAGTTGGAATCAAGTATGGAGTTAGGGACCCTGTGTGTAGTCTCTGTTCTTTCCCATACCAGCTCTTCTCCTTGCTCACATCACTAACCCACCAAGACATGTGCCAGCTATGCTGACAGGAGGTGGTAATACTGCCTACTCCACAAGTGGGCGTAGGAATACATGGTTATCAGCTGTCAGACTAGCATGCACTATGTTCTCAAAAATCTCAATTTCTTCTCTCCTTAAAAGCCAAGTTTTCTGCACACAGTCATTGATGTACCAAATCACCAAAACATCCAACAACTTAAGAATATTTTTTTAATTACCCCTAGAACAGCTAGAGGAAAATGTTGTATTAAGCATTACATAGTGAAACAGAATTCAAAACAAACTTAATGAGAGTCTTGTTCGTAAAGGACTATCATATTGTAACAGGATACCTGAGACAAAAGAAAAGCTGCCATACTGTTCAGAGTTTAGCAGTGCTTCCTGTCTCTCACGGAAGAAAAACTCTGGTATCTTTCCAATGTTCACCAGGCAAAGCACAACACCTATTACTTCCCGGTTTTGCTCTAGTGACCTCTTCAACTCATGTCACACACTGCTCTCGGCTACCAGCCTCCCAAACACGTTTCTGCAAGGTTCAGTCTCTCAACTCCCGGTTTTCTCAGGTGTTAGCTCATCAGCCGTGCAGATGTGACTTTGTTATTTTGTATCCACACTTCCACCGGCTCTACTGCTCCTGTCTTGCCCAGTAACATGTAACACCTTCTAACTGTAGGGAAAGAAATATGTACAACGTTTATTTTTTGACTTTCCCGAGATTTCTGTCTGATATATACAGATATATCTCACAGTGTGAAGTACATGGCAGATACCTAATGAATACCAAAAGCAATCAGACCTTTTCAAAACTTTACTTGTGGATATACAGAATATATGCAACAAATTCTAATGAACAACCCAGAACAGATTTACATACTGAATTTTAGGGCCTGCTACTTGCAGAAAATATAATTGTACATTTCAAAGTCTATACATTTTAAATTCGTTCAAGCAGTAATTAACAACCCATTAATTTTAATTTTGCTACTTAACATAGTTATTGTAATAGTTATTTTCCTATTTATGATAATTTAATCTTAAATGCAATTTTCAACCATTTTTCTAAAGTTCATGTGATTTTAAAGACTTATTTATATGTACCACAAACACCAGCAAATGATAGACTGGGAGAAAACAGTTACATTTTTGTAACCATCTTACAAATCTGAACCTCGAAACCTTCTGGAGCCTCAATTTCTACTACTGTAAAGGGGCTGGGGAGCATATCAAGTGATCTAAGACACTATATGTCTAAAAGCTTCTGTAATTTATAAAAATCTAATAAATTACATCTACACATATCTTACACAGTTAAAAAAAATCATTAGAATCATAAAATTATTAAGCTTGGTAGAACTTTAGAAGTTAACAAACCCAGTCCTGTCATCTAATAAATAAGGAAAAAAACTCAGGTGTTTTGAGTATTTCTTAAAATACACTTGCCTATCATGCATGAAACCCTGCCTAGGTTTGATCCCAGCTCTGGGCTATTTTTGGTCTCTGTGTGAGTATGAGAGGTAGGTAACTTTTTTTTTTTCCTCCCTTATAAAAATATGTGAGATATTCTATTATTATGTCTTTCCTAGAACTGACAATAATTCGTTTTGTAGAAATTAGTTGCAGTGCACATACCAAAAACAAAACTAACAGCCTCACCAAACTGTTTAATAACGTTTAGGAAAACAACTATAAATTTACAATAAAATACTTTTACTGTAAGATTCTTATAGACCCATATGGACTTTCTAAACGAACAAGATCATACCAAGACAGTAACGTGTGACATGAGTCAAGGCATAGAAAGTCCTTTAAATTAAGGGCATCTTAACAACCAGTAACCACAACCAGTACGACTGCATGACGTACGGCTAAGCTCCAGAATGAGCTAATTTAATATTAACCAAAGGAACAGAAGGCTACAAGTCCTAACCAAAGTGAGTTCTAAAGCTTGAATCCTATATTCCTAATGAGCACTGGCAGGCACTGAGTTCGAGGGCAGGTGTCTCTCGTGGGCTGTGGGAAACTGCATGCATACACATGATGAATGTCCATCAGAGATGCGCACTATATTCACTTCAGCCTGCTAAATGCACCTCAGTAAGAGAGTGGAAACTCTTGGGGGTTCAGGAGTAATATTCAAGGCCTGTTCAAATAATTAAAGGAGAAACTGCAGACTCTCTGTTGGGTCTCTGAACTTTTACTGTACTCTCAATCCAAACACTAACCTGAACTTTCTTACAAATATAAAGTTTTACCAACTTAGCACAGAAGAGAAATCCTGACTATGTGGGACCAAACCACATAATACACACATGACACCAAGGCAGCTGGAGGTTGGGGCCATATAAGTGTCACTGAGCGAAAACAACCCCCCACGACTGAAGACTGGGATATACACCCTCCTCAAAGAGGCCTTTCAGCTTTCCGGAGCGAAAGACCTCATCGCTTTTACTCTTCTCCAAGCAGCCTGCCGGGAACTCCAACAAGGTGTGACTGTATACTTCCAAACTGAAAAGCAGTGACCAGCAGCGCCAGGTACTTAATGACAAAGGACTCAGCTCACCACGGCGTCTTCCAGCCTCCGTGACTTTTTCTCACCCAAACAAAAACCAGGAGAGGAGCAACTTGACAAACTGTTTTTTAAGAATCACAAATGGTCCCTAACTGCTATAATAAAGCAATTACTCCTCCCACCCCAAGCAAATAGAGCAGGCGCTCGGAAGGCAGCAGGTCTCGGGTCCTCCGGCTGCACTTCCGTCCGCAGCCCGGAGCCTCCCAGTCCCCTCGCGGGGACCGAGCCGCCCCAACTCCTGGGCGCCTGGCGCCAGCGCGGACCGGCAAGGCCGACGCCGGCTCGCTAGGGCCGCCAGCACCGAGGGACCCGGCCGGGACCAGAGAGCGCCAGGCCCGCTGCCCAGGCGCCGCCCGGCCGCACAATGGGGCGCGGGCCGTCCCCCAACGCCTCCGCGCCCGGCGCCCGGCCCCGCTCCGGCGACTAGGCCCCGCCGCGCTCCGCTGCCCGGCCCTCGCGTAGCGGCGGCGCCAGGAAGGGACAGGCCGAGCCGGGCGCCGGCTGAGCAGCGGTAGCGGAGCGCAGCGGGGCCGGGGGCCCGGGCCGGGCGGCACGGCGCCGCGGTGCCTCACCATGTTGGTGTCCTCCGGACCTCTCCCCTCCTCCTCCGGCTCCGCAGCGAATGGACGGCGGCGGCAGCGGCGGCGCCTCTCACGGGCTCGCCGGGCTCCCGCTCATGCGCAGTGCGGCGGCCCGCGGAGCGGCCGGGCCGCGGGAGGCGGAGGGCGCGGGCCCCGGGGTGGGCGGCCTGGCCTGCCGGCATCCGTGGCGCGAGCGGCCGGACGATCCGGCCGCCCGGGCTGAGGACACGCGCTGAGACCCGCGCGGCGGGCGGCCGCGGGCACAGTGAGGACGAAGCGCCGGGGCCCTGCCTGCGCCCCCACTCAGGGCGCCCTCGTCACGGCCGCGTCCTGTCCTCCGTGCGCGCCTAATAGCTCCACGTCAGAGTTCCCCGGGTAAGTTTTTGGAAGAATCCAGGAGACTATTGCGCCTAGGGTCACTGTCATGCCTGGTGGACCGGCAAAGCTTGACCTAGCCTGGCTGCTGGGCTGCGGTCCACAGGACGCATGTGTGCTGCAAGGAGAAAGAAATACAGTACTCCCTGCAGAGGAAGGAAATAAAACAAAGGTACGGCACTTAGAAAAGGCTGTCCAAGATTGCCCAGGTTTGTATATGTCACCTAACAGTACCATCCGCATCTTCATCACGAAACGTGGGTCTTCCTTCACCACCAGCAAACACCACCAGATCAGCCCTTGAAGTTAACAGTCTTCCAAGTTTCTGTTAAAACAACTGTGTTGCCGCTCTTCGCTCTTCGAGGCTTCCTGCTACTGCTTAGAGCTAGCCACGTGGTGGGAGCTCCCACAGTCCTGCAGAGGCAGATCTTTGGCACTACAGACCTGCTGTCACCCATTCATTCTTTACACCGTGTGTGTGTGTGTGTGTGTGTGTGTGTGTGTGTGTGTACACGCTGATGTGCCTAGCTTCTTGCTAGGCCATAAGAAAATAACAAGTAGCAAGCAAGGGTGAAACTGGATCACACTTGTGGATATTCTCTAGAAACTCAACCTAGCAACCTAAAATATTAACGAAGAAGACTCAGCCTCTTGCTACACTCCATTAGACTTTATTGCAACAACAGCTTGTAGGTTTTCTTAAAGCTCCTTTTCCCTAAGTGCCAATTCCAAGGGGGGTTATTCTTAGTTCCACTTGACCTTTTTCTCTCCTTCGTTTGAACACATTCTCCTAGAATTTCCATAATTTTTTATAACTTCATTTATTTCTAGTCTCCCTCCTCGTAACATTCTTCTTTGCTAGCTAAACTCTGGCTTTTCAGTGGTGGAGTTCCCAGAGCCATCCGGAATCTCTTCATATATTCTTTTTCCTAGACCCTGCCCATATTCCAGTGAAGCTCTGCAGTGGCATGTCCTAAACACAAATTCTGCTCATTCCACAGACCCCCAAAGCTCTACAAAGCCAAAAAATGATCCCTAAACCTGCTTTCCCCTGCTTTTTCGTCACACAAATTATCAGAACTGCCCACAATGGTTCTACTTCATCTCCCTTAGTTTAAGCTGGACAATTTCATCACCTGAGCAAACCTGCATTCTACCTCTGTCCCTTAACAAGGGTTCATCTCTCATCAGGACCCTCTTTTCTCCATCCTCTTTTGAGATGGGGTTTCATTATATAGTCCAGGCTAACAGCCAACAGTCCTGCCTGAGGTGTCTGTGACTACAGGCAAGTGTGTCCTCCACCCCATCTTCTCTAGACTTTTCCTTCTGTATCAGAGTTGTCTGTCCGCAATGTAGACTGGAGTCTCTTCCTTGAAGTCTCTGAGAACCTTCCTAACATGAGCGTCTCTGGAGTCATAGGCAGCTCTCTCCCTTTCTTTCTACTTCCTTTGTCATGACACGCCATACAAATGCTGCTCCTGTTTCCATGTGAAGCATATCATACTTCATATTTCCTGGCTTGGTCTTATTTTGTCCCTGACACACTAGGTCACAAGAGTGAAGACTCCCCGTGTATTGTACTATCTAAGCCTATAACACTCCTGCAAACTTGAGGTTGCGGCTACACTCATTCTGTAGGGAGCACTGAAGTACAGAGTGAGTAACAGGCTAAGGTTACACAGCAAGTAGTGAAGCTGGGGCTAGACTAGACAGTCTGCGTACAGTGTGATCTCTGGGAGCTAGACCAGACAGTCTGTGTACAGTGTGATCTCTTAGCTACTATAGTTTATTTCTTACTTTGGATTCTGCAGTTGGGGCATCTCCTTTGCAATTTCATGACCCCTAGATTAGATTTAGGACATCATCTGATAATCATTTGCCTCCAAAGCCAGGGCAAAGATCTGATCGCACCCATCTTTGAGGTAATTTTGTTTTGCTTTGTTTTTTAATGGGACCATTGATGCCATACAATTTGTATGGAGGTCAGAGGACAACCTCAGGTGTCAGCCCATGCTGGCCACTTGTTTAAAAGCAGGGTCCCTGTTGTTTTTCCACCTGATATGCCAGACTGGCTGACTCTTGAACTTCTGGGGATTCTTCAGTGTCTACATTCCATCTCCCTGTAGTAGTGGGACCACAGGCACATGAACTATGTGACCTACTTTTACATACTTCTGGGAATTTGAACTCAAATCCACACACTTATACAGCAAGGGTTTTACCCACTAAGCCAGCTTATCTTTGAGTTTTCAGTGTTGGGTAAGAAGCTGACCTGTATCTTTCTCTTGTTTCTCTCTCTCTCTCTCTCTCTCTCTCTCTCTCTCTCTCTCTCTCTCTCTCTCTCTCTCTCTCTCTCCTTTCTCTCCTTTCTCTCTCTCACACACACACCACAGTAGCAGCTGTATAATTAAAAGAAAATAGTCAATCTGATGGCTCTCCATTGGACTTAAGACTGCACAGAGCTGTGGGCATATAGCTCAGTAGTGGAATGTTTACCTAAGAGAACATAGTAACAGTTGGACCCAGTGTGATGGCACGAGCTTTTAAAATAGCACTTGCTAGGCTGATGCAAGTGTAGGCCAGCCTGGTCTACATGGCAAGTTCCAGCTCAACCAGAATCACACAGTGAGAGCCTAGCTCAAAAAAGTTATAATAATAACACTAGTGTCCATGCTGTTTGTTTTTGTAGTATGACAGTCACGCTCCTTGGCAGATGCATATTATACACATGGTCATATGATAAATGCAACAGCAGTTGTACCCATCCTACACTTCCAGGTTACAGAACCAAATTCTGTAGGAGAGCATCAACCGTTGTTATTGATAAGCATATTCATGAAAATTGTCCTGGTTACTTTTTTTTTAATGGAAGTTTCCTGAAGATAAAGCATAAGTTACAATAGTTGATTAACAGAAAGGTTCCATTAACATGTTGTTTCAAATACTTGCTTTTTTCAAACACAGGAATGCGTGTTTGTGTGTTGTGTGCAGGTGTGCACATACCTTTTGCACACATTGGAGGCCAGTGAGGAGATCAGATACAGTGTTCTATCACTCTAGCCTTCACTTTTTTGAATCAGGGTCTCCTACTGAACCTGGATAGGGAAGCTGCCGGCAGCCTCCAGTGGTCCTCTTACCTCAGCCTCACCCCCATGCTACTGAGGTTATAGACTGGCATGCCTAACTTGTACGTGGACGCTGGGATCTGAACTCAGGTGCCCATGCTTAAGTAGCAGGCTCTCTTACCTACTGAGCTCTCTCCAGCCCCGCAAATACATAATTTTAAAAACTATTTTATAGCAGTAATTTTGGTTCAGTTAAAAAAAAAGATGAAAACATCTGGCTGAAATCCAGTGTTGCATACATGCATACACACATTCTTTTTGCACTATAACTATAATGGCATAGTATTTGCAGATAGGTGACATTCCAAGGTGGGACCAATTTGGAAAACGTTGCTGCAAAAGCTTAAAGTTTTTATGTTAAGGTGAATACTCACTGATAAAAATCAATGCAACTCTGCTTACCGAAACATGTACAACCAAGTCTATAATTATAGAATCTGTGTTTAGCAGAAAGAAGAAATCTGAAAAGACAGATTGCTAACCTTTCTGGTAGTTCCTTTATCTAAAATGAAGCCTGCAGGCTAGCTTTATATACCCAGCTGCAGTTCTGAGGCGTGAGTCTGAGCCACAGAGTCACCAGCTTCTCACTCATAACTCGGGTGGACACAGTTCAGTCCTCTGTTCATGTAAAAATGGGCTTATTGTACTCAGGCTTGCATATCCAGAAATGTGTACTGGCTTTGACTGTTGCACCATATTTTAGCCTGAATAAAATAACCTGTAGATCTTTCTGATGCAGAAGTATAATGTGTGTGTGTGTGTGTGTGTGTGTGCGTGTGTGTGTGTGTGTATGTTGAAAATTGAACTCCAGGCCTCTCACATGCTCAGCACACCTGTGCCTCTGTACTTTACTCTCAGCCTCCAAAATATACATGTTTAAGGGAGAAGCCTTTTAAAAGATTAGACCTTATGGCTCATGTGGAATCCATGGTGGCCACAGGCCCCAATTCAAACCAAAAATATAAGATATGGGCTTAGAAATCAAAGCCTTTGCTGTCCCCTGCCCCAGTAAACATTACCAGTGAAGCTGAAGGAATGACTGCCTGGGACTCTTTCCTCCACATTCTGAACCATTCGAAGAGGAATCCTTAATCAGGACAAAGGGAGAAACCTCAGGGAATCAGGCATCATTATCCAATCCATAACAAAAAAGTAATACTTTGCTGGGTCACCTTCTAAATAGAAAATAGGAATATTCACCAGAGCCAGTCTGTCACCTCAAGGTCCATGCGGATCTGCTGATTTTAGCTGTTTCACACTCATGGTAGAGGATTGGGCTTGGAGCAAGTGACAGCTTGGACTGGGTGGGTCATCATAAGAAACTCAGACCGTCACTGCTGATGTCACAATGTCCTACTGTCCCAGAGTGAATCTGCCTCTCTCCCCAAGTAGGCTCAGTCCTTCCTAGATGAGACCCCCGGTCTGCTCAGGTATCCATCCTGAACAACTCTGTCTCAGTTTCAATGGATGAATTCAGTGTGGAGACCATAACCGCTGAAAGGAGTCCACAGAGCAAGGCAATCGATGGTCCTGGTTCCTCAGGCTTCTACCAGGTATGGCTGAAGAATACTATTATTGAACTATTACTGCTTCCTATCTTCAGTGAATGGATAGCACACAAGGTATAAAACTCTCTTTCTAGGAATCGGTATTCTCAAGTACAAATGAAAGTATTGTGTTAATTTTAATAAAATTCCACAAAAATCTTGTTTGTTTGATTCATTGCTAGTGAACTATCCCCCGGATCAGGGAAGTTGCCAGGTTTGCACACTTGTAATCCCAGCTTGGGGAGACTGAGGCAGAAGAATCTTGAGTTCCAGACCAGCAAGAGCCACACAGTTGAGACCCATCTTACAAAACAAAAAATTCAGGAAAATATAATCAGTCTTCCCTGGCACTCCGAGTGTGTGACTTTCATAGGCCACCATTGTTTCACAAATGTAACACCACACATGTGGGAAAATGGGAAACTATTTTAAATTCATGGTGACATTTAAAAAAAATTTAAAGGCCTCATCTATTGTTTAACACTACATTTAACCCAAATATATATTTAATGTAAAGTATTACTGAGAAGTTTTATGTTGTTTTCCAGGTAGGATTTCTGTTGGGTGAGTACTCGTGGCCCAAAGCACATCCCAATTCAGAACGCTTACGTTTTCCTACCCAGGTGCTGTCTGTAGGAACAGCTCTTACTTTGGTTAG